TTAAATTTGAATGATATACAAATAGAACCTTCAACAACTATTGATATTGGAATTCAGGTAGAAGTAGATAATACGAATAGTGATCTTTTAATGCAAATCGGAATTTTAAAAAATTCTCTTAATGTTCTTGCAACTGAAAATTCTAAACAATCACAAATTATTGAAATTAAAAATAATAAAATTTATGAATTAGAATATGAATGCGAATATCTTAAAAAACAAATTGCCGATTTTAATCTTAGATTAGAAAGTTTAAATTTATATAAAATAATGTAGAAATATTAACAAATGAAAAAAATAAATTAGAAAATGAAAATACATACTTAAAAGAACAATGGAATGAACGGTATAGTACTCAACAAAAGCGAATAACAGAAGTTGCTACAATAGCTTTATTAGAATGAAGGCTTCTATATGATGATATTATTTATTTAATTAATAATTGTGATTGGTTTTCTTTAGAAAATTTATTAGTATATAATCCTTTAAATTGGCTTAAGTATCGTAATCCTGTAATAGTAAAATTTATCGAAGTACTTACTGATAATAATGATGAGCAATTATATCAAAAGAAAATTTTTAAACGTATAGTGGCTGTAGATGCTATTTATAAATCATGACATAGCAAATATGTCTCTAAAATAGATCTTGCTGCATCAGCGATTAAATATACTATTGCTCGATCAAAAACTATAATAGATATTGATAACCATATTACTAGTGGAGGAGGCTATACAAAATTTATTAATTGGATCGAAAGTTTAGCAATCGAGCCTAAGCCCTTACCAGATAGATTTTTAATTTTGGCCTTCGATAATGAACAAAAAGGCCAAAAAAACTATTTAGATCGAGGTTATAACATGGTTGTATTCCATACAGTAACTAGCTTTGTAGACTTTAATTTTGATTCGAATGATGATTGCCAATTAAAAATTGATCCGTGGAAAAACAACTCACTTCTTGAAGATGATATCAAACAATTATTTTATTTAAACGATAATATGGAAAAAGTACTTGAAATAGAGCTTCTCAAATTTATTAATGAAATAATAAGTAACCTATATTCTGAAAAAAATCAAAAAGTAAATGAAATAGATAAACTAGTTGAAAAACAAAACAGCTTATCTAATAAAAATAAACAATGTTTAAATTGTTTCGAATCAGAAATTGATAATAAAAAGCGAAATTGTCCTAAATGTAATACTAAGTTACCAACGCTTGCTTCAATAAGTCAAGCTTCGTCTTTTCAACAAACCACATTACCTGAAAATATAGATAAAA